CCATTGCTTTTCGCCTATGCCCAGTATCTAAATGACTTTTGAGTCTTTGTAAGCAATTATGCTTACTAGCATGAGGGGCTGACAGGGACACGCACGTGCACGAGGATCAGTTCATTATGGATTTGCTTTGTGGTTTATGACTGGAAAATTGTAAGAACCAACGGCTTCTCTCTCTTTTCCGGAGTGGTTGAACATGATTTTTTTTTGTATTGAGTGACTAGCGACTAGTGAAGGCAATATTGACATGAAGAATCCGACCAGCCCCAATGCTACAATATTCTCATGGTCATGCGTGCGACCACAAAGCCATGATGCTATTCAATGAGGCTTTCTTGTGTGGGTTGCAAAGCAATGCCACAAAACACCACCTGAGCGGCTGACGCCAGCACCTCAACTACCTTACGGGGGACATGAGTGGCGTTCCACAGCTGTTGCCCATGCCAAAGCAATGCTAAGCGGCAGTGTCTAAAGGGCACAGTCGCAATGCTGACCAGTCAGGCGAGCATGTCCAATGATCGGTGCATGAACAGAAGCATGCTACATCTTGAGTCCCAGCCGCAGGGCAACGGGGGAGCTGCATTAGCGCGGCTGATGCTTTCAACTTGAAACCCAAACGTTCGATGCCACATCATACGATCTAAACTTATTCTTCAAGGTGTGATCGGAAATGGGCACATTCTGCCAGATTAAATATCTCCCAATGCCAATGTGACTGATGTCTTGTCACGTTGTGGGTTCTTGATCTGTGGGCCTTCGCGAAAGAGCTGGACAAAACGTCCCAAAAGCGGTCAGCCTCGAGGCTGTTTATCAGAAACACTGACAAAGGCAAAATCATGGGCATTGCATCTTTTTCTGAATCACTTGGAAGCATCTGTAACACATTGTGACACACACACACATAATTATGTTTGGGCCTGGCTGCCTGGCTGTAATATTTTAACAAAGCGGTCAACATCAAATCATGGTCACAACGCGCACCTCCACCATACACGCGCGCCCAGCGCAACGCTCCAGTGCACAAAGGCTGTCTTCGACCTGAAGAGTCACGAGATGTCACGAGACTTGGACGGTTTCGGCCAATCTGATGTGTCTCTGTGTCTCTCTCTCTCTCTCAGCAGCACTCACGGTGAGTTTCAAGTTCGGCGGGCCGGCATGGATGGCGCGCCGGAAACACAACTCCACACATTGATCAGATTGAATGGAACTCCCGTGACCCTTGTGGGCGCAAAGAAGCATTGACACTGCTGGGACGGATCTACGGCTCATCACCTGCGCTCACACAGTTCACGCTCACAACCCTCGTCGATAGCACACAAGGACCATCATACGCCTCTGCACTTCTCTGTGCTTAGACCCAGGCGATATAGAACAAAGCCTGCCACGGGCGAGTCATGGGAAACGGGAACCACACAGTAAAGACTTGTGCTGTAATCCCAAGCAAGCAGTTCAGTTCAATCTCAATATGTCCAAAAGCACACAATGCCAGCTTCTGTGCAAATGGCTTGTTCCATAGGGATTCATTCGCCGCTTTAGCTTCAATGGGTTGATTGGTTCTTGTGTATTCCTGTTGAGCTTTGTGCTACTGCTACTCATGGTCTGTGATCTCGCCTTGGTTGTTTTGTGCCCGTGAGGTGTATTGAACCCAACATTTGAAGGAACACATGTATCTTAAGGACAATGACTCTGTATCACAAAAGCCTAAACCTAGACCCGTCTAGACCTCCTACAGGGAGTCCAGAATTTCAGTGATTATGCACATGGCACAAGACCATAGAGGATTATATAGAGGACGCAAGCTACTCAACCATACTCAACCTACTTCTTTCAATAAATTGAAACCACCACGTCCCACGTGCCACGTCCATGCCATACCTCGAAATGCTGAAGAAAAGCAATGCCCACCTCGACGGCCAACTTCCAAAGGCCAGTTCGTTGAAGCTGCATGGGGCCTAGTAGGCTGGTCAAATACAAATTGTTTTTGTCTCTTCATGTTCAAGCCGTGCCATACTGCAATACTGTTAGAAATCCTGCACCACCTGGCATGTACCAAAGTCTGCCACTGGCAGAAGCGTTCAGCATCTGAGAATCTGAGGTGGTGCAGAGAAGTATCATTGCCCCACCTTCCTTTTCAACTCTCAATTTGCAGCACACAACTCTTTATTCTCTCTTCGGGACTCATCTCATGAGCAAACAAATCAGGCAGCCTCTGTAGCAAATCAGCTTGCCGAACACCTGGCAAACACATTTTCGCCCATCTGGACGTATGCTTTTCATGAAGTCACTCAGAGTACCTCCGTAGGACCTCCGTAGCCTCCCACACCGTTGGGTCTTCCAGCTCAGTGGGGCCGAGATGTCACTCCGCTTGGCTCGGAGATTGACCTTCCAGACATCCAAGGACGTCTCGGAAGTACAGTGTTTCCAGGGACAGGTTGTTGTCGTTGTCGTTGTTGCTGTTGTTGTTGTTGTTGTTACTGTTGTTACTGTTGGACGGTTTTTATTCAGGACAGTTTAGTACGGCGTTTTATGAACCACAGTGTTCTATAAAGGCAATCAAGGACTCCCTGGCTAACATCAAGTCAGCTGACTCAGCGGCACCTGACACAGCATGGGCACTATGTCATTCAGGAAGCCAGTCAGCCTCGAGTGAGGAAAAAGATTATGGAGCTCCAGTTTCCGACGGGGATGTTTCCGATGACTTGGAAAAGGAATCAATTCCAACTGAACGACCGTTTTCGAACATGAATTCATGAGCTCAATGGAAAGGACATTCACTGGAACCATAGGGATTTGGATGGATATGGATTGAGGAAAGCGCTCAGTTCTTCCTAGATGCGTCCTCCTGCCCCCCCATGCCCCCCACACGTCTGCTCTGACCAGTGTAGCCCCCGGCCGGCTGGACGTCATTGGCCTCAAAAAGTCAAAACGTCTCGGGGCGTTGAGCTGTCCAAAACGGCAGAAGAATCATTGCGGTTTAAGATGTCCCAAGTTTCAGAGTTTGCTTTGTTAGGTCAGTTTTGTAGTTAGGCGGTTAGGCATAGTTTTCATGGTTATTTCACGGGTGTTCTCATTGTGGTAGCTTGTTGCGTTATGTTCCCTGAGTTTCTCAATGTTTCTCCCTCCTGCTTACTACAGGAAGATCCTCCTGCACGGCTGACACGTTTTCATTCACCTCAGGAGGCCCCTGGAGACACAGCGGCTACCACCTTGGAATCTTCAAACACAGCAGCGCTGGGCTGCCGCACTCAGGATTGCCACTGCCTGAGAGATGCGTTAGGCCCTGTTGGGCAGAACTCTCAGCTCTGCACTTGGCATGCTAGACCTTCTACCGCATTGTTTGCCAGTGCATGGAACGCGTACCAAGATGCCGTGCTATGCTCAAGCCCTGCTATTTCAAAGCACGATGATCAACCTGTGTGAATTAAATTGCAAGGTATTGAGTCCTAACAGTTTAACACCTGAAGTCAAGTGAGCTGAGACTTCAATGATGTGTCTTCGACTTGACAGATCCGAACCGTCGAGTCTTGTGCAAGCACTCCCGATCTACCCTTGGCCCTTGTGGTTGCTTGGCCTAACCCCGATGCACCCTCCCAACTACAAACATCCAGCACACACACACACAACTGCCGGTTGTACTTCGCTCCGATTCGCACCTCCTTTAAGCTGCTCTAGCAGGCTTCGCCGGCCTCCGAGGAGAGTGAAACACCGGGACCGTTCGTGTTCTTTTCGCTGAAAAAAACACGACCCCGGCGTTGGCAAAGCGCTGCCCGCAAAAAAACGAAGACAGTGAGGGCTTCTGGGACTGTCACTGGGTAGGATGATATGCATGCTATATCTGTATTACTGTATTACATTATCATCGTATGTTCGTGTCTTTCGTCGTGGCTGAGCTCGAGGCAAAAAAGGATCAGAACACACAGCGTTCGCACAGCGAGAGCCAGCCTAGGTAACGGCATCGGCTCATGGATCCAAGTGGGTGCATACCACAACCAGTTTCACTGCTGTCGGTTTCACATATTTGACTGTCAGTGAAACCGGTCGACAATCTGGTTTGGATAGATTACAATAAAGGTGGGGCTGTAGAAACTCAGATCTTGAATGTTCACAGTGCTGTGGGCACAAAGCAGCCTCACCGGATGAATCTTTACGATATATGAAGTCTTGCGATGTGCTTCCTCCATCTTAAGTATTAAGAGCATGCACGTTACATAAGTATTTATATAATATAAGTAAATTGAACCCAAGGCAAGATCTGCGAAACATTTGCAAAAAACGGCTGAAACATGCTGAAACCGAAACCACTTCTTGCTTACAGTACATCTGTTTTGGTCGACAAAGACTTTGCGTCTGAGGGCTCAGCTTGTTGGAATCCACTATCCTTCGGCCATCCAAAAACACCGCACACAGCTGGCAAAGGAAGATGGCCTGCCCAAGAGAATGTCTGGCACATGGAAGAGACACCCACAAGGACACCCATGAATCTTGAAACAAATTCTTTACCAATGGGAGACGGTCCGCTCGCTTGTTGTGTCCCGGGCACTCAAAAACACAGGCATCGCAAGCAAAAGCATGCCCAAACACATATGACAAAAACCAACCTCCACTGAGATGTCTCCAAAGCTACAAGTCTCCTGAATGGCGCCGGGCTGGTGCACTCACAAGCTCGTCGATTTGGAAACGAGCCTCACCGACACACAATTCTTGAATTGGCCTTGTGAATCCCTCCATGGGGTAACAACACGCCAACAAAGAGACCGCGTCTGAACCTAAATGTCAACTGCATTGGGCTGTCCCCTACCGTCCGCGGTCACAAGAGTGAGTCATATCGCGTCCCGACATCTCAAAATGCAAAATTATACTAAAATTTAACATAATTTATACATGAGCATTGGTCGTATGAGAAACCGGGATGCGGATCAAAGGTGAACATTGGTTCTCCATACCGTGCCCCGCTGGTTGCACTGATGACTAACAATGGTAGCATCTTGTTGGGTGCAGTGTGCTTACTGCAGCTCCTCGATAAAGCCATAGGCAATGCCCTGCACGTGGTTCAGCCGGGCCTGAGTGGCTGGATGGTCATCTCACTCAGCTGTGATGAAAAAAATGCAGTAAATTAAAGACTGTCATGATATGATAGTTGCGGAGGCCCTTTTGCAAGCAACCCATGCCGTGTCACTGACCTGGAGTATCTGTAAGGCTTTGAGGTATCATTGACTCGAATGCAAATCACATATACAATCATACATTATGTGTATATATATATATGTTTTCCCACCCGGTGCAGTTCAGTTGTTTGCATGTAAAACCACCTCCATGCTCAACAGTTCTTCCGTTCTTCTGCTGCCCTGAGTGAAGCCTTTCCATGCCTTTTCGGGAACTCACCTGACATCATGTCAGCCTGACATCACCTCACCATCGTTTGATGCGACAAGAGGCGGAGGACACGTGGAGCATGGTCCGGTGTGTCGGTGATCGGGCACCTGAGCATTGCTGGCGGATGGTGATCGGTGTGGCATCTCTTCTTAAGACCATCAATTTGGGCTGTAAAGAAGCAGCCCAGTCTAGCGGTCTTATGTAGCAGTAAAACAGGCCTTCTCCCCTTTGTTTGATTTGGAGCCTTTGTTGTAGCGTTCAAAGGCAGGGTGTCCGTGATTGACCACTGGCACCTACTCTGATCCAATCCACTCAGAGAGCAACACAAAGAGTATATACTTTCACCGAGACACATCGTCACAAAAAAAGGCATGGTCATTAAAGTGTTTGAACGAGACCGCGTCTTAGTCTAGAAGTTGCACCAACTTGTTAAATGCGCATGTCTTGATGTCACTCCTTTTTGTGCCAGAGCTGACAGGAAGGAGCAACCAATAGAAGCAGTCTCACAGAAAAGCCACACAGCCTGCACGTGCGTCTCAAGGAAACTTGAGATATCTTGAGATCCGTCTACTGCATTTACACATACAATTTTTTCTGTGTCAATTCCCAAAAACTCTGAATTCTTCACTTCATGGGCCTGAGCATGAGCAGCTGCCTTCTCGCAAACCTCAAACCATCGTGGACAAATGGCAGTTGGAAGCTGGGAGAGTGGAGGTGAGTGACTGGCTAACGACTGGTTTCAGCTACAGTAGGTGTTAAGGTCAATAGTGGCCAGGTTTCTGCAGCAGGTCGCATGCTAATGTCAATTGCTCTTCATTGTGCTCTAGTTCACAAATTATTGCCCATATCTTAAGTGTGCTTCACATATTCCCAAAAAATGAATGAATGAAGACCTGAAGATCCATGAATGGACTTTGGGACCACCGATAAAATATCCTTGGAGGCCACTCATAATCCTCCGGGATCCTTCACTTTGGGGACCTTGCCAGACTCCGAGCCCCAGGTTACTTTTTTCATCTGTTTTCCTAGACTATGCCACCTCTGCAGCCTCTGCCATCATGGTTTTACAGCTTGGCTTTGTTTGATGATCTAAAGCAAGACCATGCCCAACCCTCTCCTATAGATGCATGTCATGTCTCTATCCCCCCATGCCAGCTCGCTGAGGTGCCGAAGTGGCCCAGCGGCAGGTGATTGCATCGGCCATCGGATGGGGCATCTCCTGAGGCACTGGTTGACAGGAGGGCCTGGTTGTGGAGGCCCTGGTTTTGTTGGTGTAGTGGAGGTCTTGTTGTCCCATGTTGGCCATGGTTGCCCGCACTGATGAAGATCGAAATCCGTGGGGAGCCCTGAGATGAAGCCAGAAAGTGATCCACACCTTGGGGCAACAAGCGCATATAAACACCTAGATCATCCTAGATCCAACTTCACCCCTCTCGGCGAGTCGGCGAGTGTCTTTCAACAAACCTGACCTTTGGTATCAAGATTCTTCGGATGATAAGTTAAGTTCACACATAGCCAGGACACAGTTGGTAACAAACTCGTGAGTACATAACCTACAACCCTTTCCCCTTAGAATCCTGCAGGGGATCACAGTGGAATGCTGGAGGATTAGTTTTCACCCGGATTTTAGTTTATAGTATTGTAATTTAGTTCGGCGTGGAAACTAATTCGCCGGAATTCCATTGGGAAAGAGAAGTGATGTCAATGACATTCTCGAGTGAAGTTCTTACCAAACTTTCTTCCTCCTGAAGTATAATTGTACCTGTCCTGTATTATTGTATTGATTGATTTCACTCCTTTGATGGGGCCTGACTAATTCACATGCTGCCCAGCTGCCATTAACAATCTCACGGCCACACGCCACTGCAGCGCTCCATCCAATGCCTAGTCTCTCCAGCATGAGACATGTCTGAGCTTGATTGATAGGCCACCACTACAAAACAGTACAAAGCATATGGTGGTTGATCTAAATTCCTTCTTGCTTACGGAAACACAATTCCTCGCGAAACACAATGTCTTTACTTTCGCAAACTGCATGATAAACTTCCGCGCGGGGTATTCTCCTTGGATTGGTTGTTTTTCCACATATCTATGTTTTCAGATATTTCGCAATCACACATCTTTGAATATTTTCGCGAACTCGAACAAACATTGCGAACCTCTCAATGAACCTAGGCCTCCTGCACGCCTTCATTGATCTTCAAGTGTTGCAAAGCAAGTCATTGGCCAACGATGGCCGCAAGCATTGGTCACCTTATCGTTGCCCACCTCCATCACACTGTTGTAGGTCAAGGCATCTGGAGCCAGCTCGGCAGCCTGCATCTCCTGCCCGGCGGCCATGCAAGGGTTGGCAAAGCAAATCCTGTGACGGCCATGTGGTTTTATACAATCTTGGCTTTTCAATTGCACACTTTGGAAAGCTAGCCTCATGGGCGCATCGCTAGGTCCTCCAACAGCTGCACGCACATCTGCCAAGGCAACTCTGAAGCCAACACCTCTGGCGTTTTGAGACGGTGGTGCTAAGGGCTTCCACAATGTGCTATGGAGCCACAGCCAAACCATAATGACCAGCTTGTCGCAAAAAAGCTTTGCTTAGAGTTCAGGGCCATAAAAGGCCCGAGTGGTTAATTAGATGACACACACACAAAGCATATGTCATTTCTGGCATGTACATAAGAGGTGATTCATTGAAGGACTCCCATCGATCATTTGTTGAGGGGTCGGCCCACAGTAGGGCCCTAGGCCATCTACCCAGGTCAACCACTCTCACACCGAGGATCGGAGTTGTAGCTCACCACATCACGCGCGGAGGAGGCCATACTCTTGAGAATCCTGCGGAGGCCCGGTGGTCCAACGCCACACGGTACCAGCATCTTCCAACAGCAACGGTGTGCCAGTCGTGTGTCCATCTCCACAGGCACAATATGGCACAATGCATTTGGAAACTATATAGAAAGGAAGTTGTATGACTGACGTTGTATGTCCACCTTCTTCTTGAACAGCAGTACTTGCAGTACTACCCATTCCTGTGGCACGTTGGTACCTCTTTGAATGATTCAATAAAGACTCAAAATCTGTGACAGGGGCACCTAGTGGTGGACCCTCGACATGGTACGAACGGACCACACCGAACCAAACCACCGCCGAACGAACCTCACAGCTGAGGACGTCGTTGCGGGCTCCTCAAAGCATGCTCCCAGCTTCCAGTGCTGCAGGCTGCAATGGTGGCGTTATAGGTGATGAGCTGAGCGGGTCTCGTCGTGCAGGGCCGTGCGCCGGCATCGTGAAAACACCGTGCGCCATGTGCGCGGTATCCCTTTCAGGCTCGTCTTCGCGCAAGTGAAGAGGTGCCCCCAAAAACGTGGGATCACGAGGCGCAATACATTTGATGGTCATTTATGCATAGCCAAGGCCCACACATTCGGCATCAGCTGACGCACCTGCATATCCTCTCTACAACGCAAGACACTGCCAGATACAGCTGCTCAACAATGTGTCTCTGTAGGCTGGAAATTACCCAAGTGGCTCCTGCATCGCATAAAGCCTTGGCAGTTCGGCATGTCGCTCAGCTCCAGTTCTTCCATGGCTCACCAGTCACATCAATGGATCGGGATAAAACATGATATAAACACATAAAGGAAGGTCAATTCTTGAATGGAGGCCCCAGTTTTGCAAGTAACCGTGCATAGTGCATAGTTGAAGGCTAAATGGAGGGTGTGTGGAGAAAGGGGGTCAGCAAAAATCGCTTATACGAAGTTAGTGCACCAAAAATACCTTCCACGAAGTTCTGCGAAGGTTTCTGGGATTTCGTTGCAGTCAGTTCTCCTACTGGCCCACCATTCCACGAACTGTCCACGAATAGCCTTGGGTTCTACGAATGTCCAGCGCCTTCCACGATGTTAGTAGAACAGATTTTTACAAAACACTTTCTGTGCACTACCCTTCCGTTTGCCTCTGAATAGTGTCCAATCCAAAATCACCCGCTTTCTGCTGGCTCCGCTGGCAACCTCTGGCAACTACAAGGCCATTTGCATTAACCTTATGGGTGTCGTTGCACAACGGGTGGGTGACCTTTCAGTACGCAGCCGACGAATCCCCGCTTTTTTGTTGCCCGAGATTCGCAAAGGCCCATTGTCCATCTGCCTGTCACTGACATCGACCCGCAAAAGCATCACCGCTATAGAGACCTTTCCAAAAACATCCAGTGCTCATGAAAGAAAGTAGAGCAACCCACGTCCCTCATTGGGTTGCCATTGCCATGATCTCTCCACACTGCACCTCACAGGCACTGATGATGGCGCTGAAGGTGATCATGTCCGGCTCCAAATCCTGCCGGGGAAGTACAATGGCCAAAGCCCTGTGCCAGCTGACTCCACTAGGAGCGTGGTCTGGTCAGGGAATCTCCAACATCGCAAGGGTGTGGCAAACAACATGTTGAACAAACACATCCTGAGCAAGTCAGTTGTCTTCCTCAAAAAGCCAGACTTCAGGAATGCCACAACTTCAGTTTCAAAACAAGTTCGACTCAGGGAATGCTTTCAGTGCAAGGTATCCACCAGGTGTTGCATGCTTCATTTCACCGACTAAGTTGCGGCGGATCCAACTTCTGATCTAAGAGTTTGCAACCTAGAGCATCCAAGTCATTCATGTAAAACATCATATAATCATATATAGAATATTATAGAATGCTTTCTGGAGGGTCACCCTATCATCTCCTTCTTCGCACTTCACTTATCTTCCCGGACCGGTGGTATGTTCTTTGCCGAGCTGCTGCTGCGAGCATCTTCCGCAAGACTTCCACTGCCTGCGTCCACTCCTCAGGTGACACTCGAACGGTGCTGAGCCGATCTCAAAGGCATTGGCTAGGCATGGCTAGACTAGACTTCCTAGACAGGGCAATCAATGGTGTCACATCTAAAACTCGAATGCCTCTAATTTGAGAGATTCCATGACTGCCTTGCCATTGATCTGTGAGAGCACCCGAGCCACCGAGCCACTACAATGGAAGCTGTGAAGGAGCTAAGTATATGCTATACACATCTTGGGGGTTCAAGGGTTCGCCCCGCTCCATTTCGGCTCCTGACGCGCTTCGCAGGTGGTGCACACAGCATTGCAAAGCGCCACGTCCGCACTCTGAGCTGAAAATGCGAGGGCTATGCTAAGCAAGCCTTGGCAAAGGAAAGCTGTCTGTTCGTCGTAAGGAGTATCTGAATACGTATCAAACCTGATGGGGGAAACATGTGATGTGAAGACCTTTCACCATCGCAAAATTGAAAGAACACATTCCGTGTTTTGAAAACAACTCGCCAAGCTGCTCACTGCCCGTGCCCACTCAGCGGCAGGGCCTTGGAGCATTCGGACAATTCAACTGGCCTGTGACCTCCGCCTCCTCATGACCCAAATGATCAACATGCCGCTTTTCTCCCCCAGGCTTCCCCAACTTAGTGACAGTAAAAGAACTATGCTGGTTGGTGGTTTCAAGCTACTTCAACAGTAATTACTAGTCAGTGGGTTCAATCATGCCAAGTCAAGGTTGAACATAAAAAGTATTTATCTGAAACATTCTGAAACCACATGAAACCACCACCTAGTCAATACGGGGAAGTCGCTGTGGGAGTCGGGCCAGGGCCCAAGTCACGGAGCGCCGTCACCAGCGCCGAGAGCGCTGTGGCATCCGAAGGCGCGCGCAGCGCGGGCATGGCGCGCCACAGGCTTAAGGCCTGGAGAGGGCCGAGGGATGCTGATTAATATCAAATGATAGCAGGATATGGGTGAAAACTTGGAAACAGGTGAGCACCCTAAGCCTTTCGAGATGTTTCGACCAAGCACAAGACCCGCCCCAATTGGAGATCTGAGAAGGAAACCGAGATCGTCCGCAAGTGTGATACCAAGAGACCTATGCAACATGGCAACAATCCCTGAACGCCCTGTACACCTAAGCAACTTACACAGGTCTTATTAGGATCAACCCTTTCGATCGATGCCATCCATTGCCATCAACTAACCTGCTTCAATTTGCTCTCAGTGTGCAAAGTGCAAATGGTTGGCATTCGCCTTGGGGGACGCAACGTCAGGAGCTTCGCTGCTCATTCCCTGCCTGGGTCCAATGAGGGAAGGCCTCGAGACCTGCAGTGAAACCCACCTGGTCGCGCTGAGCTGAGCACGTCCCAGGGCTTTCCCAGAGCTTTTCTCACAAAATGAGAAAACCGTTCGACAGGGCGTTCATGAGCTTTCGTTTGCAAACCACAAACCCAACAACCTTCACCCGGTTGAGGGAACTGAACTCTCCACTGCCTGGTCACTACCTCCTCTTGTCGCCCTGCCTCGTGGGCCAAAGAGTCATCAGGGCGACAAGGCTTCACCTGGGATACGATAAGGCAAGCCTGGGATCCTGAGGTGGAGTCCGCCCTCGGTGAAGGTGTGAACGTCGTGAGGCAAATGGCTCATATACGACTCATATATAAACGAGCAAATGTTCACAAACAATTGGCATCTTTGGTTGGTCTCGGAACTCGCAAAACCGCAGAGGCCAGGGAGGTGTACCCGTGGTTTTGGCCGTGGATCTTTCATTCAGAATCATGGCATCACTGACGTCACTCACTCATCAATCCTAGTGCCAGAAGCATTTTCCACAGCACTGATTGCACATGATCAAGTCGAATCGCGGAATGTCCTGAAACAAATGATTCTTGACCAAACACCACCAGAGGTTCTGAGCAGCCTGTTCAAATCAAGCGTCGAGCAAGTGAAGCAGCCTCTGCCATTCAGAGGCTTTCTGACATGCCAGTGCTAAGTAGTTCCTTGGCTGAAGGAACGGGACGACGCATCAACAAAACGGACAAACCCGCAAATGACTCTGGAAAAGCAAAGGCAGTCCATATATCGTATAATCCAACCCAGCCTGCAAGTGCAAATGAAAGGACATGACAGCCTCTGAATTGTTCATTTTTAGTTGGACCAGCATTAAACAACGCTTTCTCTTTCTGGAATGGAAATGAAAGGAGGTTGGTCTTTGGGAGGGTTCCACCAACACCTGGAACAACAATAGTAGCTATATATACAATTATTACAAGAAAACACTAGCAATGGATGGTCTACGGGCCTGTCTACGGGAAATTGCATCGCTTTGGGGCTAGCTTGTTGATACATATGGAAGGAATCATATGGATATTCTGCCGTCATGAATTCTCGTACCCCAACGGCCCCCGCCAGCAGAATCTCCAAAGCGCCAAGTGTCAAGCCTTGGTCCAGCAAGAGGACACCTTCGGCCAGAACATGAGTCACCTAGGGCACAACGCCAGAAATCGCACAGGCATCAAATGTTTGGGTGCAGCCACTGCACGGGGGGACCTGGCACTGGGGGGGCCTACCTGGAAATTAAAGTGTAAGTATAATATGATCCCAACGCCCAACACCAGCTATCAATGCACAAACAAACCTATCGGTGTATCCAAGCGTAATTTAATCAACCCAGCTCCGAAACCTAGTATTCCTGGCATATCCATGCCGCCCATGCCCATGCTGTCCGCAAGAGTTCTTACTTTTGATGTGTCCGCATCCGTCTCCGCGGGACCGTGGATCGGGCCCATCGGTTCCCTTAGGCGCTCCCTCCCTCGGTCTCGTTCCGTGCCAACAGCCCAGCACCAAAAAGACAACCCCCAAGCTGTGCTGCAAGTCTGTCAGGCAAAAGTCCGGGGCGGGTGGATCTCTGGAATGCACATACACACACCACAGCAGCTGCACCAAGCACCAAGCACCAACAATGACCAACAGTAGATGAGAAGCCAATGAAGCGCCTCACCCTTCATGAGTCTCGTCTTACATCGTTGGGCCACCCAGTCTTAGGCACTGGCCAAGTCCAAGGCGGCTGACCATTGTCGGCTCCTGTCCTCAGCGTTGTAGACCGCAGATTGGAAAATGGATTCTGAGGGTTGTGCTGAGTTGATGCATCTTGATTCATGGTTCGGATCCACTGACTGAAACGGCACAGAACAGATCACGGGAGGGCGTTTAGGGCTGAGGGTCGGGCTCTCCCTCACGCTGCGCTCACAGCTCTAGTAAGCGATATGATCTTGCCCGCACACAAAAGACTTGAACAACTCCTGGCCTTTTGACGCACTAGGAGAAAAATGCCGAGTTTCGCAAGCGCTCAAGGCAGCAGTGTAGAGGATGCTGTCGATCTCCAATGCCTGATGGCATTTGTAAGTTTGGTCAACAGAACGATTTAAGCAATCCTATGCCATCCTGCACCTGAACTGCCCTTGAAACGGCAGGAATCTCTCAGGCCATGCTGCGTGCCTTCAGCACCACACGTCACATAGGATCGACTTGATCGTTGCTCCCCGTTCACTGACATCTGATATTTTACAGGCACACTCCATCCATGCTTTCTTTCCGGGCCGTCCTGCCGATCCAATTTCCACAAAGTTCCCACGGCTTGCAGCCAGCGGCTTTGTTTGGCGGCCCCGGCAATGACCTTCCTTTCCGAACAACGAGTTTCGTTCCGAGGAGGTCCCAGCACAGGTGGGTTGGGAGCACCTACAGTACGGGATTTGTGGAGACACATCATCATCATTCAAGGAATGCCCCTACACTCCGCTGCAGTGAGTCGAGAGCAACTGCGTCACGTCTAGACCTGTTGAGGTGTCGGCTCACGCTGCCCGAGCTGCTCTCGCTGCGCGTGCGGTACGGGACGGCCACTTTTCAGATGCTGGCGGTTGCAAGTTTAAGGTGTGCTTTCCACACCCAATTGTACAAGATGGAAAACATATTGTCACTAAGCTCAAAGCATCTCAAAGTGCAGTTTCATGTACCTTCGAAGTAAGGAGACTTAAGAAGCTGGGACGAATCCTGTGTGAAGAATCTGCATGCGTCACTCAGGTATCATGAAATTGCCTCGAGCAAACGGGCCCAACAGCCACAAAGCCGTTTCTGGGAAGCAAAATCGCCCAAGGGCCTAGGCTATCCTAGGCCAGGGTTCTCATGGGGTCTGGCGTCTTCCTTGGAGTTGCTTCAGGTGAGAAAAGCTGGATGGTCTCTCCCTCTCCCTCCACCCTCATTAACTATAAGGACACCCCAAAACACTCACACCGGCCACCACTGAGGCCCAAATGCCAAAACCTCCCTGAAAACTCTTGGCTCAAATCCAAAATTGCTTGCCATTCCCTCTCTGCATGTCTTTTTTGGGGGGGACTGTGTTTTGTTTGTTGAGTACTTGCCAAGTGGCTGATTGTTGTACTTGTACAAAGAACTCAGTGTCCTCCAGCCCAACTTCAAGTCGCCTACAGGATCATTGCCCTGCACCGTCTTGTAAAGGTAAGAATCAAACGTCACCTGGCAGCAACGCTGTGCCACTTCAAACTTGTTTTCTTTCAGCTTGTGCCCAATGACGGCTTTGGATTCTGGACATGGAATTGTTTCGGAACGCGTGCGTCGCTATACATTGCAATGTTGCGTGACGGTTTCCAGCCAGCGGTGCGGGGCTTCCGGGGCTTCCACGTCCACGGTTCCAAAATGACGGTGCTTTTGGGGGGGAGCTCAACCAACATCCAACCACAGCGCCGGAACCGACCACCAATCCCGAATGCTTCACGTCGTTCGTTTCGACCTGCCTTCTGCACATACTCTTCTTCGCACAACTCCACAAAGCTCTCACGGGCAGCATCGCTGGTATAGAAAATCTTTTGAAGCAAATCAAGGACGAGATAGGTAGGACCATACCTCGTCTAAAATGCAGCAAGGCGGGTGTCCAACCAATGTGCATCTTTATTAAAATGAAGATTTCTGAATCTACCTTATCTGATTGAGCGGGGGCCTATGTCCCTCCTACAGCCCAACAACAGTAGAAAAAAAAAAAAAACAAACTTCGCGGACATCTGATCATCAGTATCAGTTCAACGTACTACCACTACTTGTCGCAAAAAATCTGAGCAGGGACACTCGGAACTTGGAAGCAACGGGGCCTTGGCCACATGGCACACCTTCAATCTGCCCCTGTGAACTGACCAGGCCAACTCGATGAACTTCTTTCCTTTCAACGTTTGGGGGCGTTTGGGGCCGCCCCAGGCCCCAGGCCATTGAACAAGTCCAAGTCCAGGCTGCTTTCCGTCCCACTCCCGCAAGTGCTCCATCAAATCCGCCTCGTCGATCATGCGTGCACCCTGCTGGGAGCTTTTCACCTCACGCAAACGCGCGGATGTCAGTGGTTTCCCGTGTGTGGATGGACAAGAAGAAGCGACCCAAGGACAAACACGCAATGATAGCTCATCTACTATCAACTATTTTAAGCTATGTTGTCCTCTTACAAAGTGAGATTCTTGCTTGATGGAGGACTTCCCAGGTGGGTTCGACTTAATTTGTGTTTCCTTTCACAGGCACCCACACCAGGATCGAAACTGATTGAAACGTTGATGGTGGCTTCCACCTAGTGAACTTCATCAACCATGTAAACACATGGTAAACACAGCATGACAATATGATATGAACATAATGTAACTAAAGCCGTTCCAATACCGCGCACGAATTTAAGCAACATACATCATACTTCTCAAACCTCCATGAACTTACACCCCGTGCGAGAACGATGGACGATTGCAACCGATGGACGATGGTCTCCGCGCACATGCGCCCGCTCTTGGCCGCAAAGTAGATGCCCTCCCCTGAGCACTTGGTCACATAGCCTGCGGCGTCCCCCACCAGGATGGCGCGGTCCTTCACACGCCAGGGTCGTGGGTGCTCAGGGATGGGGTGCGCCTCAACACCTGCGCGCAGTCCAGAACGGCAAGATGATGGACAAATCGATTGATCAGCTCACTTCCTATCAGTGATAACTGGAGTCTTGAGGGAGCTAACTTGGAGGTTAACTGTTCACATATCGTGGCCGGTGCATCTTGGTTGTGCAATTGAAAGGGTTCTGTTTGAGACGAGCAGGATTGGGGCCTTCCACATTTACGGTGACCGGCCGACTTGGTAGGAGCATCGAATTGGCAACGCTCGATGGGTCACAAACACGGCGTGTGAATAGGAGGGTTGCCGCTGGTCAACTAACAAACTAAACGATCCAAAAGAAAAACGGTTCTGGGGGTCTCACATATAAAATTCTCACAGAAACTTCTCACAGAATATCACAACATGGTTTGCAGAATGTGCTGCTAGAGAACGGATGATCTCTCCTCCCTCGATGCGTGGGGCTGCACGGTCACGGATCCCTTGCTGGTACTTCTTGATGCCGCTCTTGTCTACCACTGTGCCGGTGCCAACGGCCACATGGTCGCACTTGGGGAAAACCCATGCATAGAAGTCCGGAGATACGTCCTTGGAAGGTTGGCTCGTCCGGGGTGCCTTTTGGGGATCTGTTGGTTTGTCTTAAACCGGTTCCTTGAGATGGGGGTGCATGTTTTCTTTTCACGCTTTGTTCTGTGATATAGTCATACCCTCTGGCACCCCACCTAGTGGAAGGGCTTCGAGGGGCGGACGAGACCGCAAGTCGTGTGTGGGATCTGTTGGTTGTTTGTCTTGCTTTAAGTGATCCGTCTAACCCTATAAGAACCGAATGTGGAAGTGGACATGTCCTCGCCCACATACATCTCCGCACGATCTTTGTAGTAGTCCATCTTCTTCTCCGGAATTCGCATGCGCTCTTGGAATGCGATGGCATACTCATAGTCCCCTGCTTCGATGTCCTGGCGAAACCGTCGAAGAAACCTGGAATGTCAAACAAAGTTTTTCTCCAGGTCCATACTCCTTCAAGCGATAGAGACATCGAATCTATGCGCAGCAGTGAATAGCAGTGTGAGCATTGTCTTTGGGGGTTTTGAAAGTCAATGCTCGCTGGTTGACTGCCAATGTTTCTCCAGTATCTGATGATTAAAGGCCACAACAAATACCATGTTAGCACTCATGTTTCCATCAGCCAAGGAGTGAGACACATGCCCAAATCCAACTGATTTGTTCACTCTTCTGCTCCTTGGCAACCCGGCTGTTCGCCCCATCTGCACCAATGACCACGTCGACTTCCAGAGTCTTCTTCTCACCCTTGCGAGCGTTGCCCTCCTCACCCTCATAGTCATTGTAGGTCAAAACGTAAGCGTCACCCTTCTTCTGTGGAAGCTCCATTCCCATGAAAAGGCCATTGATCAAGGTGGCCCCGTTCTTCTTGGCCCTCTGTCTGAGAAAGTCATCCAGCACTTCACGTCGGACCATGCCGATGTATTCGTCCTCCTTCAAGGTCTGACCGATCTGGACCTCCTTATTCGTGGGCGAAATCATCGTCATCTTGCGGACCTTGCGATCGACGATGTCCTTCAGAGATGGATCGGTGGCCAGGACGGCCGTTGGATTTTGTGGTGTAACAAATGGATGAGGAGCCAGGAGCTATGCATGCCGCATGTTGAACATGGTCGTGAGGGGTTGTGGGTGCTTTTTTAACAAGCACGATTTGGATGGATCGTACTCACCAGTCCCATTCTATTGCCTGGAACCGGAAGCTGGCCTGATGAGGCTGAAGCCTCCAAAATCTCGCAAAAGAATCAAACAATTCCATGAGTCCATGAGCATAGTTTTTTCAGCACCCGTGGCATGTTTTGCAAACCCCTACCAACCTCTACGGAATCACGGAATGTTCGGTGCTCAAGAAAGACCACCGTTCTTCGAAAAGAAGTGAGTCGGTCTCCGCGGAAACATGTCGTCGCGGGGTCCCATCTTCAGGTCTCCTTCGGGAGGTCGAACTCATCGATCATGCACAAAGGGATGGCACCGCCACAAGGCTTGCAGTTGTCCATCTTCCGCTCAATGAGGAAGGTCTCCACCCCCTTTGAAAAAGGGACGGCTCCCGCAGATGCGACCAGCGAAAAGCATTTTCAAACAACACCACAGGTCATCGAAGTGATGAGGGATGACTCCAGAAGCTGAAAACCATTGAACATCTAAATCGCTCAAGACTGGGTGTCGTTCAATGCCTACATGTATTTCAAAACAGGGTGTTCCAAACTAGTAACTAGGCCTGGTTGTAGGAAAAGCAAATGAGAATTGTCGGTTTATTGTTCGGAGTGGGGCAAAAACGGTGGAAGATTCAATGAACTTGCGCACACACGCACACGCACACACACACACACACACCGACTCCTGGTGGAGATGAGGTGAGGATGAGATGAGGTAAAGCAAGCTTAGGCCCTGGCCTCAAAATAATTGGACAATGCTGGAGTTGAGCCCCAGCACTACCCAGCTTGCACCCTCGAGAGGTAGAGTCTACAAAATACATTAAAACGACAACTACCAAAAACTATGGAATTCCATCTGCGCATATCCCCGCCCCATCTGCCTGCTGCGTCAAGGCGTCTGCAGCACTGGCACCTGCTGGCCCACCGCCGACCACGGCCACCCGAAGCTTGCGACCCTCAGGAAAGGTCACGCCGGCGCAAACCTCAACAAATGAGATGCCAAGGTGCATGAAACTTGTAGGAAACTTGTGCTAAAGAATAACAAGCAGGCACAAACACATAGTAAGAAAATGGCAAGACATTGATATAATAATGATAACACACGTGCAACACAAATCACCTTCATAGGAAAGTGATTCTAGGTCACTAGGTGAAGCTCTCAAGCGAGGTGTGATTTTGGACCTTCCATGACCTTCCCAACTGCTCCCAAGGCACCACCACCTTAGCTTTACTCAAAGATCGCCCTGTTGCAATCACCTTGGTCTTCCCGCTCGACCCCGCGAAGCCGGATGGCCGACGTCCATGACGCGCCCGGCCCGCTGCCATGGCCACGGTGGCCGCAAGGCTCACGGCGGGCACCACACCGTTGGTGCCCAGAACCCCGCGCATGGCCGGCGCGGACGGTGCGGCTGCCACAGGCACTACGGTTGCCAAGGTGGACGGTGCCAGGCTGGATGGCGCGATGGGCGCCATGAGGCTCGACATGGTGGGCGACAAACACGGAGGAGGTGGTGTGACGCTGAAACCCAAATGGCTGAATCGAAAGATGGGTGATGACTATGGCTATGGCGACTACGGCAACTATGAACCATGTGGATCCATGTGGCGGCAACTTGAGGCTCAGTTTGCCTGCATCATTGTGTGTGGGGGCTTCAGGTCCGCAAGATTCCTCCGAGATTCATTCCTCACTGGAACATTTTGAGTTACCCAGTTCACTACCCGATTCACTGCTCAAACTACTCATCATAAATCCACTCTGACCCATCCGCCAAGCTTCGTAGCCTCCTTCAAGGCCGGGCCAGGCCGGTGAGCACTCATCAGCCTGGGGTCTCTGACCGAAACAGGAAGAATCCGAAATGGATTTGAGTCACATTGAGTCATTTTGTCTTTCAATGATTCCTTGTTTACACATATTAAACCAACCTGGGATGTGAATGCCACCCCAAACACTCCTGAACATACACGCCAACGAAGCAAAGCCTAGTGCTTTGGATCAAAGACATTGCCACATCAATCGCACGCCATTCGGCAGCTCTCTCGGGCATCCAAGAGAACGTCGACATATTCGTCAATGCAGCTGGTTGATGAGTCATGTCACATGAGGAGGATGAGTCCAATAGACAAAGTGTTCTGTTCGTCGTAGCATGGCCGTGCCTGTCTCAAAGACCTCCTTCCGCGACAGTCCATCCGATCTCGATCGCACCCGCTCAGCGTCCCATGCGAGGAAAGAAGGAACGCTCGGAAAGCACCATGAGGCGGGCTTTCGGAGCACTGAAAGGTCAAGAAGGATTATTGTATACATTATGTAAACATATAATATATTTATGAAGTGGCTTGCCACGGACCCATTGAGACTGGAAAATCAAGAAAGTTATTGGGCATGTGGCTTTGGCTAGATCGCAGCGAGATCATTCTTGCACTTCCATGCACAGAACTGTGCTAGCTTCTGCTTTCCATCTGCAGTCCCTCACTTTGAAGTCTCCCAGTCCGATCCTGCACAGTCGACGGCCATGTGGCCACACCGGTGCGGACGATTTCTACAATTATTGCTGATATGCGAGTTTCCGGGGTGAAGGCATAGTCCACAAATGACCAGCCTTTGTTGCTCCAAGTTGGGCAATAGAGGCTCCACAACAAAATCTAGAGCTTGAGGTACGTAACAAGGTCATGTGTGGCCTATTCAGCTTGAGCCATCAGAAAAAGGTCACACTGACACTGCAAAGATTCTTAATCTATTCTCAGGTCATCACAGAATGCCTTCAAAAACCCACAAGGGGCCACGAGAATGGCTTTCTAATCCTCTCCTGTGAGCTTGAAATCAACCAACAACAATGAATGTGTCTCTTCTCATTTCTTTGCGCTACGACCGACCTATGGAGAGAAGTGATGAGAAATGCAGCTTGGACTTCAATGTGATCAACGACATCATGACATCTCAACTCAAACAGCCACTGCTCATCAGTGCTCTCTCCCTTCCGTTTGGGAGAGAGCAGCGGATCGGCGCATCCCTCCCTCCGAGCCCGGCGCCGAACATCTGAGACCATTCCTGCAAAGAGGAAAGAGAAGCGAAAATACATGAACACAAACACAGCTACTGAAGCGCCAATTCTTTTGCGCACCACATAACAGTTTTGAGTCGTTGATATCGTTGATATAATTATCCTTTATGCCAGGGCCTTGCTGTTCTCCCAATGCCTTGCTATGCACAACTTGTGGTTCAGCGCATGGGGGCATTCGCGAACTGCAACGATTCTTTTCCTCCGCGCATCTGGATGTTTCTCACGACGTCTGGCCAAACAACCCTTGGACAGGTCAATGGAGCGCTTTTGTGGTCGGAGGAGGCACACCTCCTGGCGTGATAGCTGGCAAAACCCGGATTTACGCAAGCTGAGTGATGCTGAGTGTAGTACCTGGCTAGAATGCTTGAAGGGTGTATGATGGCCTGGAGCACAAACAAGGGACCACAACACATGCACCTAGGGGAAACAAGTATACCACCACCTCTGGAACAGCTGAACGAGAAGCTACCACCTACCAAGCCTACCAAAAATACCATCAAACAGCTTTACAGCTTGGAAGTGTCAACTGGACAGTTGATCACTATCTCAATCTTGGACAGCGTCATATATTGACTCCACCGGATACCGTTGTATCTCAGCCACACTTGCCGATGTCGTGGCCATGTATATAAGTGTATTGCGTACAGCTTGTCCAGCTTTTCACCCGGTATTTCAAAACAAGCATCACGGGGACTAGGAGTAGTATGATGGAATATGACATAACATTACTAATTACTAACTGTGAGTATCGGATTCTCTTTATGACTGGAATTAGGGGTGCCCCTAGGAAATCTACCCTCGACAACGCCCAACATCGCGGGATTCCAGCTAAGTCCGCTTCAGCGCCCAGTTGTTGGCCCAACTGCTGCAGGCCTTCATGTTTGGCAAGGAGGGGAAGCGCAGCAAGACTTCTGGGTCAAAGTCCTTCAAGGGTGGATTTTTGGCGAACAAAGGCCGCCAGCCGCCATCCTTGCAGTCGTCCTGGCAAACGTTCGATTCATGTGGAGGACATGGGTGGTCTGACGGGTGGCTTCATGTAAGGAGCAAAGGCACTATAGTAAGAAGCACAGTGCTCTTCATCCCCCAAGAAGATCACAAGGCGCGGTCATGGTGCCAAAAACATGGTCAGGAGTCACTTCGGCTATCCTGGCAGTGCCCAACATTCTACATATATAGAGATGTATATATACTTATTATATAATCTTATATATATATATGTATGTATGTGCAGTGTAAATACACAGACCAATATATATGGCCAACTATAGGGGAGCAAAAGTAACAGTTGCAAACAAAAAGGCGTGCGGTGCGCAGTTCAAGCCCAAAACCTCGACGCCGATGCCTCCAAACTTGATCCCCGCCGCTGACCGGGGCTCCTCGGGCCAGTCCTCTGGTGCTGCGCAGTTGCAAAGCAAAATGAACCTGCCAGGTTGCTGGGAAGCCTAAGTGCTCAAAGGTTTGCTTTTTCTGCTAAAAGAGCATTCTCAGCTCCAGGAATTCAGCCCGGATTAGCCATCTGAAGCGAAAGTGTGTGACGGAATTGTCTGTACTCACACGCCAAAGAGGATCAATTGGCCCAAATTGAAGTCTGGCACCCAAAAGCAGAATCTCCGGCCTCATGGCAGGCTTGCTGCTCCGCAGCTCCTGTAAGAACAGCTGGATGCGCATGGAGGACCAATGCTGCAAAACATCCTCAACCGCAGGAGGCAAAAGGGGTTGGTCAAGGCGCGGACGCGGTGGTCTGACCAGGCAAGCAAGTGGGAACAATATGACCTTGAGTGTGGTTCTCCTGAGCCAGGCTCTTCTTGAGATTCACACCTGGAGAAGCATTTGATACTCATTGCATGGTATGAAATACAAAACAATTGATCTTATGTCATGTTGCCATGCCCAAGCAGTGAGATGTATATAGTGCAAACATGCCTACCATACTTGACCACCGACCAATGCTCTAGTTGCCTGCCTTGCCAATAACCAAAGCAATCCACTAGTGCAGTACCCAATGGGGCTAGGTCAGGCCCATGTTAGGCCCCTGCATCCAGAAAGTCATACAGTAGTTTGTTGGCCACCTGCTTCACACCGATGTCAAATCTTCAAGACTGCAATGGTGCCACCATAGTGCATCCGTTGAAGCCCCACTCTCCCTCTCTGGGCCAACAAATCGCAACCATCCTCAATCAACTCAGCACCGAACACAACTCTGGTCAAGTTTCAAGTCGTTCCATCCCGTCCCGCAACCGCACCAACCAATGACAACCCACACACGCACACACCCACACAACACCCACACAAGCCCCACATCTCACCCTAGCATCACGCCTGATCCCTCATGAGCCCACCTGGTAGCACACACCCACACCCAGCACTTGGATACCCACACCTCCCCATTTCAGTTACAGTTGCTTTGACACAAAGAGCATCTCCCTCAACATGAGCAGCTCCAAACCGCCTAGAGATCTGGAGCCCTGTGCGACCCACGCGCCTTCAAGATGTAGAGCTCGGCGTCGTCCACATCTGAGACCCGCTGCGAGAAATCCAAGTGTTCAAAGCGCACAGTCGACCGCGCAAAGGCCGTTTCTGCCCAGCGTGCGCGGTTCCTTATGGGTGGCTGGGGAGAGAAGGGGCAATCTGACCTCAGGAAATAACATGAAGCAACGACATCTATACCTAGGAACAAAGACGCTACTAGGAGCGAAGGGATTCGTTACTAGGAGCAAGGACGCTACTAGGGGCTGCTGGCCTTACTACTAGGAACAAGGACGCTACTAGGAGCAAAGGGCATCGCTACTAGGAGTAAGGACGCTACTAGGGCTCCTGGCCTTACTACGAGGAACAAGGACGCTACTAGGAGCAAAGGGCATCACTAGGAGCAAGAACGCTACTAGGAGCAATCTGACTTCAGGAAATAACATGAAGCAACAACATCTACGTATACTGAAACGGTGTTTGCATGGCCGACTTTGAATCGCTGCGCCAATCGTCAGGAGAATCATGATGCGCAATTGCGCAATCATGCTCGATAAATGATGGTCAAGACTCTCCTGGATCACTGGCAAAACCACATCATAGCCAACATAGTCCACACCCAGGTCATGGTAGATATAGGGGCTGAATTGCCAATCTCCACATCCGAGGTCCACCACGGATTGAATAGAGTTCTCCTTGATGAATGTTCGCACAAATTCAATCCTCGGGTCACTGAGCTTACACCTCATTTCCCTTCATCCATCAGCTAACATCGGATCGATGCCCAGCTCTTGATGTTTAATGACCATTTGCAAGATACTGCACTAGCAGCTTCACAACTCAAGAACTTCTATGAAGCACTTCTGCCTCTCACCCGAGTCCACCCCATCTTCACCCGAGTCACCACTTCAAGCAGTGCACTGGCACGCTGCCTGCACCACTGCCTCTGCCCCAGGCCTCTGTGGCATAGATTTGTGTGAAGGTCTCTTCCAGGCTGAGGCCTGCCATGTGCAGTCCGACCCGTCTGTTCCTTCACCCGGGTGAGTGGGCGAACATCTCAAGTTCGACTTCGTGTGGGCAACGGTGGAGATGAAGACGAACATACGAGTATATCATTGGGGTGGGGAGTCCAGTGTCCGAGCAAGTGCGGTCCAAATGTAACACGACTCATAAACCATCGAACTGCAAACCACGTCCTGGAAAGCATCCCCTCTTGGATGCGGTCACCCGTTGCCCATGTGACAGCGCAGCCTTCATAGACGATACCCCTGACCGCATCGGTCAAAGGATACT